TGATTTTCTTCATTGTACTCGGCCGATCGACTCATATCTCGATCCAAGCTTCCCTTATTTGCCTAGCACGGCGTTGGCGTCCTTGTTTCAATTTGTTTCTTCTTTCTCCGGCTTGCTTCGATTCTCGGTCTCACCATCGTGCCCTGGATGAAGGGTGATATGTTGGACTCAGATTCACCCGATGACCTGATGTCGGGTGCTTCTGGGGGGGCCAATGGTGATCGAGGACGGCGAACCATGAATACTTCTCGTGCGTGAATTATTCTGTTATCGGTGTTGGTTTCCACACTGTCGGAGTTGTTGATAACTTTAGTAGAGGCTTCAAGGTCGCAGATCGAGTCTCCTTCTTGGTAGGGTAGAATTGCTATCGTCGTCGTGCCGACAAGTCGGGTACCGCCATCCTCCGGAACAGAACCTGGCCAGTGGACGATGCAATCTTGAGACGTTATAGTTAGTACGAGACCTTCCTGAGCTCCTTTCAGTGGCATTCTGAGCATCGGATCGAGGGACCCTTCGAGCCGTGCTTGATAAGATTTTGCCATGTTGTGGAGTCCGAACGGAAAATGATCTGACTTCTTGAAAAGACTCTAAGTGTACTCTGAGTTGTATTCTTGATAGGCTGAGGCCGCGTTCTGGAGTCCCACCAGAAAAGAACTCGGTTTCTCGAAAGAACTCGGATAAGACTCCATCTCGGATGCGGAGCCTGAGTTTGAGTCGGATGCGCAAAGCCGTGAAATCTGAGTTGGATCGGACATCGCGAGCTGCGCGAATCTTTCAGCAAGTTGATCTGTCGTAGTCGCCGAAATAGAAAGGTCTTCATGGTGATCCAAATCTTCGGGGAGACGGCTTTGGAGCTTGCCATCGTCACCTGTCTCGCAGATCCATGAACCGAAGATGAAGATTGATCCCGTCGAGAAGATCATGTTGTCGAGGTCCGTCGAGCTCTCGGATGCAAATTCGCCGAAAGCCCCTACCTGGCGCGCCAGGTGGCGATGTTTCACCACCGATAACACCGCTATGGGGATACACGGGGCGCTTTGTTCGGGCTTCGGATATCTGAGAACTCGACGGTAAACGCAAGAGGCGATCGATTTATCTGAGTTTGGACCTCGATCGTTGATCGAGTAATAGCCCTACGCCCGATCGGCGTTAGCTTTTGCGTTTTATTGACTGTCCGAAGAGTCTCCCGTCTCCAGGAACCCTGTCCTCCTTTATATAGTCAGGAGGCCAGAGTCCTAATCGGTTTACAATGAGAGTTCTAATAGGATTACAGAATAATACTACTACTAAGATTATATGGGAAGAATCCTAGTTAGACTAGATCTTCTCCTTCCTTTATGGGTATCCGTGAGTCCCATGATCGACATCGGTTGAGGATCTCTCGGTCGGGAGCCCTTGATTCGGAGGCTTAACATACCCCAAAGTTAGGATCTTGTCAGGCATCCTTTTGCTTCAGCTAGAATGGCTAGACACAAGAAAAAGGCAAAATTTATTTTGGACCTAAAATGGTTACCAGGCCTCTGAAGGATACAGGGACGAAATGAGCCACCCACGGTGCACTTTAATTTTCAGCAAGTGGCTATGCTTGAGTAAACAAGTTAGTCCATAATAGTGGAATGGAGTTTTTTTTTTTAATGTATCTTATAATTTAGCAATATTATATATGCTTTAAAAAATCATCAAAAAGGCTTTATGTCACATCTATAGTGGACAATCTATATCTTATACTCTTGTAAAGCAAAACACCACTAGCCTTCTAGCCACGCATGGTTCTCCTCCTGCACTACTGCTGCCATCGATCCACCGACGCCTGCTTCCTCTGTTCTGCTTCCTCCGTAAATGCGGATGCAAAAAAAACGCCGCCGCCCACTTTAACCTGAATGAAAATAAAAGGACGCCGCCGCCCACCTTAACCTGAAGGAAAACAAAAGGTCGTCGTTTCCTTCCTACAGCGCACCAAGTCACCACCATCCTCTGTTGTGTCTGCCGCCTGCCGCCGCGCTCCTCCAACCTATGCTCAAGTTCGTGCGCTGCTTCAAATTGCCACATCGGCCATCAGGGACGCATCTACATACCCTGGCCGGCTGGCACAACCCATCAACATACATGCAACAGAGTGAGTCCCGACTCGCGAGATGCGTGCTGCCGCAGTCCGCACACGTCACTTCGCCAGACTCACGCATGACTGGTACTGCATGTCCGCCGCCCGACGTCCCGCCCAAGAAGCAACAAATTGGGAACCTATAACACAGCAGAGCTACTCACGGAGAGCAAACGGCACCTCCGCTTCAAGAAGGAAACATCCAAACGGGGAAATCACTGCAGGACTCCTTTGGTACCCCTGACTTGGGTAGAGGTAGACCGGCAGCAAAACGCCTCAGTGTACCCCCTCTCATGTTGTGCACACATGTATAAGAAACCTTATTGATGATGCATTCATCTAAAAAGTAGATAAGGTCACCTTGAACCCCAACATGCAAACCAGCAGAAAAGGATCTGAAACCGCTATCAAAGTTATGAATCTGAGTGACTCCACAAGGGCTTGTGCTGAAGTCTAATGCAAACACCTCAACACTCTGAGGTTTGCAGTCCATCGTCATGTAAGTGTAATCACTGTAGAATCTGATGATTAATAGCAGTTTTTCACGCCATACCACCAGGTTGCACCTCGTTGAATCAATGGTCTTGGAAGGGATAAGCCGATTAATCTTATAATGCTCAGCACAGGACAAACTGACACCGTGCTCGTCCTCCCTAAGCTCAAAAAAGCAAAGATTCTAGGTCTGGACTTCCTAACCACGTACAACTTCCCCTGATAGAAGGCAAGATCACCGCTGAAAGAATCAATTCGAGCGCTTCGACAAAGATACCATGAGGTCATTCCAGGTTGCCAGAGAGCCAGTCCAGGTGCACCCCTGTGGGCTGTGGCAAGACAAAGCAGCCACAATGTAATTGGATCCTGAGCTAGGTGATGCAGATAACACTGCACAGAAAAGCAACAGCCATGACTCTTGTTCTTTGGTGCCATTAAAGAATCTTGGGATGGGGCGAGCACTTGTGGATTCATCCAACCAATCGTAATTGCAAGGGCTCTGCTGCAGACACGGAAGATGAACCACCTCGCTGGCAGTCGTCAGAAGAGCCCACGATCAAGGCATCATCGCCCGCCGCCACGACGGGCATCATGGCGTGCCGGGCGGCAGTTAGCGCCCCATTGGAGGTCAAGCAAGAGAACCTGATGAATCTGGGGAGCACCAGCACGGGCAGCGGTGCGGGCAGGGCCTGGATGCGCGCGGCGGCGCGCCAGTCGCTGCACACGGACCGCACGCTGGCGCGGTCGGCGAGGCAGGGGAGGAGGCCGAGCACGGTGCCTAGGATGTCTGCCGGAACGTCCGCCCAGTCGCCCACAACGGTCCTGGCGGCGGCGCCTCGCTTCCTTCGTAGACACTTTCGTCCAACACGTCGCGTGCGGACTGCGGACTCGACCCACCAGCGGCGGCGATGCTCCGCAGCAACCACCACCAGTGGCCGTGTGAGATGAGGAACAGGAGAGTGGGGATTCACCAGCGGCTTCAGTGCCGGAATCCGTCGCCATTGGCATTGTGGGGACCTTCGTTGCGGCGTTTCTTGATCTGGCAAACCCATCTTACCCAAGCGAAGCGAGGTACTGCAGAAAAAGCTGTAGGCTGGACTTTGGGTTGGGTCTGTGATTCATTTGGGCTGGCAACTTGGTACCCAAGCCCGCCAAGAGAAGTGGCAGTCAGCGGGCCTGACCAATTGGGCCAAACCTTGTCTGTGCTAGCGTTATTATACATAAATAACTTGTGTCGACTTCACTGTGACATTATTATACATAAATAATCGTTACATCAGACTTCAGACTACGTTTATACTCCTACAAAACTACCCTCATCAGATATTTAATTCCAAACATAAGGTAGTATTACTTTTATCTAGATGCTCGAGGGTACGTGCAGAAGGCCAGCACAATCACTTGGACTTCAATAAGACTGCGCCTGACACGAGGACAATCCAAGGATCATTAACAGCTTTCCACACCATACTCCATGCTAAAAAGAATGAATGCACATCTTATTTTTCGAGAATACGTAATAAGTATTATTAGATAAATAGTGTATATTTTAAAACAAATATATTTAGAGATACAAGTATTAATATTATTTTTTGTAAATATACTCAAACTTTAAAAAACTTAATTCTTGAAGGGATCAATAAGTACATAAACAGATTTTACTAGCGATCCATTTTCCATTTGCACTTATGGTTTTTTAAACCGCTAGTATAAAAAGCCAGTAGAAATGGTGACCTTCCTCTGACATCAACTTGAGCAAGCAGGATGCATGCGTGAAGGTGTTCTTCGAGATTCATAGTGGTAGAAATAAAAGTAGTATAGATAGAGATAAAAAATAAGCTCGGCACTTCAAAAATGCACAACACCACACTTATGGCAACAGAAACCCAGTGCACAACACACAACTTCTGGGAACAGAAACCCAGCAGGATTATTGTTGTCCAAATGGACTGCCTGCACAGCACAACTTTCACACACTTGTAATGCTCGTAAAAAACACTAGGCCGCGCTTCTTGCTTTTAATTCCCACATGCAAATGGCTCCTAACAAGTGGCATGTCTAGATTCTCAGGAACAAGCAGCTGAACAACAGGTGAAGAATGTAAAGAGCCCTTCAGTAAAGCTTGAAAAGCCTTCTGAAAAATATTTATACTTTGATAATCTAACACTGTCCCGCATCGCAGTTCATCCAAAGTCCAAATGCAATCAAGCATAGAAATGGATTCGGAGCAAAATACTTCAGTATTAGAACTCATATATGGTTACAGGATTTAGGCCTGAAAATGGGTACCTGGCAGGAACCGATGTTACGATCACATCAGAGCTCCTTTTTTCTCATACTGTACGTCTGTACCTTTCTTAAAACATCCAATGTATGTCTGTATTTAGTCTTTATTCAGTGGACGTACTCAGCAACTCATCACGGCGAAATTACACACGGTAGTACCTGAGGGATGCCTGGCAATCAAACTCCAAACAGGTGGCTGCTCATTGGGGACCCATGAGTAAAGCTTAACAGCGCCAGAAGGATATAGCACATAGTCTGTGCCTACAGCGAAGATCAATTTGTCACCGCATGCTTTGAAACCAATACCCGGTGTAAGACAGGAATGAGAACCTTCTGGCAATTTTCCAAGTGTGATCCATCTATTGTTCTGCTTGTCATACTTTTTGACTTTGTTCTCAGTGGAACTGTGTTGAGCTGCATAAAGCTCGTTATTGACAACTGCAGCAGGAGGAGCACGAGGAGCATGCGATTCTGTGTTGATCATGAAACCCTCAGCCATGTTGTCGATCACCCTCCACGACCTCCGCTCAAAGTCGTATTCCTCCCCGCAGGTCAATACCTCTCTGTTGCTGCCCACCCCACCAATCACATACAGCTTCCCGTCCATGAATGCTGCTGAACACGACTTTCTAGCTCTATTCATGCTTGGGAGGGGCTCCCAAACTTTTTCCTCAGAATCATACATCACTACTGCGGTGCTCAAGACCCCGTCATAATAATCAGTAGTTCCGCCTGCCAGATAGGCTTTTTGCCCCACACTTGTTGAACCAAATTGGCAGCGCGGAAAGAAGTTCGTCGCATCAGTCGTCTGAATCCATGAATTGGTTAGGATGCTATATATTAACAGAAAGTCCCCCCTGCCAAACACGAGCAGGTCTGTGCCCACAACGAGCGACGGCTGATGCTCAATGTGCATGAACTTTGCATCTACTGCCATATTGGGTGCTCGGATCCAGCGCCTGCGCTCCAGGTCATATGCGGTCCACTCTCTCCATTTACAAGAGACGTAGATCCAATGCTCTGCTACCTCGGTCAGCCGCCGTAGGCGGTAGATATCCCCATTGCGCACCAGAGTCCGGAAGTGCCCGGCTCAAGGAGGCCACTGTGCCGTAATCCGACCGGGACACTCGAAGAAGGCACTTGAGGGACAGCTTACGACCAATTGCACCAAATAGTCCGTCGCCATGCTCCTCTATCTTGTGTATTTCCTAAAGGACACGATAATTAGATCAAGATAGATATTGCACCAAATTTTCATCTTTTAATAATTAATTATCAATGCCGTAATAGTTTACCATTTTATTTGCAAAGATGCAAAAAGGTAGAATATATGGATTTTTCCACCAACAACTTACAAATATTTTAAAAAGGCTAAACATTTGATTTCTCAAATACAAAAAAACCATCATATAAAAAGTGAAATTACCTGTGCTATTGATAAGTTGCTCATGTCAGTGACAATATCATCCACAATATCCGCTTCATCAAGTCTACGGACAATATCCCGTGCATCTGGTCTCCTTCTTGGATCATAGTCAGTGCATTCTTTCCCTATTTCAGCGCACACTCGTAATTGCTCCAACTGCTTTTCTCTGTGTATTTTGTCCAACCTGTTCCCCCAACTTTTGAGTACCTGTAAACTGCAAATTGTGAGTTATATGATTTATTTATGAAAGGAACAATTGACACCTCTTGTACCATGAATTAAAGTATTACTAGTCTATCCACCTGTGCTCTGGCATAGATTAGAATCTTAAGAGACATAAGCATCAGTTATTGTTTAATATCTCTCACTAAAAATATATATAATAAATTGCTTATTTTCTTTATCTTTGTCCATTTTTCTAACATAATAGGCATAATAGATACTTTGTAGTCTCTATATAGTTGTGAAATAAACTTATCAATTAGTGATCTATATGTTTTCATCCATATCTACAGATTTTTCCTTTGTACAACTCCTTTTTGCTTGTGTTATCCAGATGAATTTAGTTCAAACATCAGCTTCAACTATGATGTGTACTCTTGTTGCAGCTCATATTATGATGTCGAGAATCTAAATTTAGATTTTCAAATTTTATCTTACTAATTGCTATAGTTTTTTATCCTCAAGTGGAAATTCTTCTGCTTACTCTATCCTTTTGCGGTTCTTAAAAGAAAAAATTTGAGATCATAGACTACACTTCAGGCACTATGATGGCATTAACAATCATTCAAACTTTGCATCGCGTCGCTTAGGATCAGTGGTACAAGTTGAAATAAGATTTATAATAAGATAGCAGTACCAACCTAGCTCAATAGCACATTAGTATATAAGCTTTATAGTGATGGTTTACTCCAAATGAATCTCAAAGGCCACGAAGATATAGCCACCTATGAGCTACAGCTACACTAACCTTCCCCACTTCTCAGGATATTTCAAATTTTTATCAAGAAATTATATGTATATGTATATGTAAACATTTTTATTCAAATGTGTAAATATATCCAAACTAGCAACTAATAAAATTAAATAATTTGTTATTATCATTAGTATATGAGTCATTAAGGAAATATTTTTCATGATTACTAAAATATAACTTATATATTTAGAACACATGCAAGGATTTGTACTTGATTTGCAACATGTATGTTTTCTTTAGTCAAATTTTAAGATATTAATAATAACAGAAGTGGGTAACATAGAAATATATATGTTTTATAGTTATTTAAACATTTCTTGTAATAGAATATTTTTAAGTAGATCTGAAAGGATATTTTAGTTGTTTTAAGAATGACAGAAGTGGTAATTTAGATGTAAATTTAAGGAGTTACGTAGAGTGCTTATCATAATATTAAGTAGGTAACCAAATGCAAATTTTAGGAGTTATGTAGATTATTTATCATAATAGCAGGTGGGTAATTAGATTATCTATCACGTTTCTTAGTAGTATAGTTGGGTAATTTAAATATAGAAGATTTTTTAGTTACTTTTGTTGTTTTAAACAATAGTATAGGTGGTTAATTGTTAAGAAAATAAAATATATCCAACGGCTATTATTATTAGTGGTGATTAGAGTCTATCAAATTGATAGTTAGATGTTTTTTATTATTGTGTAAACTTCTAGGATTTATCTTTTTTTCTAGCGTTTTTTGTGAGAATTAACTTAGAGCATCCATTGGAGCCTCTAATTAAATGTAGAGTTGAAAGGATATTTTAGTTTTTTTAAGAATGACAGAAGCGGTAATTTGAATGTAAATTTAAGGAGTTACGTAGATTGCTTGTCATAATATTAAGTAGGTAATTAAATGCAAATTTTAGGGGTTATGTAGATTATTTATCATAATAGCAGGTGGGTAATTAGATTATCTATCATGTATCTTAGCTGTATAGGTGGGTAATTTAAATATAGAAGATTCTTGAGTTACTTTATGTTGTTTTACACAATCGTAAAGGTGGTTAGTTGTTTAGAAAACAAAATATACCCAACGACTATTATTATTAGTGGTGATTAGAGTCTGTCATATTGATAGTTACATGTTTCCGATTATTGTGAAAACTTCTAGGATTTATCTTTTTTCTAGCGTTTTTGTGAGAATTAACTTAGAGCCTCCGTTGGAGCCACTAATTAGTAATAGTAAGATAGGATGAGTAACATGAATTATTATAGTTCCTTACTAATATATACATATAAATGGTGATAGCAAAAATGTTGATGTAATGCCATGCCAATGCCTAAAATCGAATGTCTTTAGCAGGGGAGTAGATAAAAAACCACATAATCATATAAAGGCAGAAGCCACATCAAGTAAAGTGCACCCCACTTCAAAGTCTATGCTTTTTCTTTTCATATTTCAATGATTTGATACTGAGGAGCAGACATTGATTTACCCTATTTTGCGGCCAAATTATGTTGTTAGCTACTAGTTGTGCTGCCAAGAAAAGCATCTAAAAGGAATGATGGTATTGTGCGAAGTAAAAGTATAACAATTATTCTTACATCATAATCCTCAGGATACATCTTTTCTCCTGTCAGTATCTCTATGATTATAACTCCAAGACTATACATATCTGACTTGAATGTGATTCTTCCACAGTGGACTTCAGGTGCTATGTATCCTCTACAAGAAAATTTATATATAATACATTGAATTAGTGGGAAGGAGACCAATATAATGCATAATTAACCACTAAAATGACTTCTTAGGAAGCTTGCCATCTTACAGTGTTCCGTATATTTTTGAAGTAATAACATGGCTTTGCCTTTCATCAAAGCACCTCGAGAGACCAAAGTCAGCTATTTTGGGCACCAAATTGTTATCGAACAATATATTAGTAGGCTTCAGATCTAAGTGAACAATACAATTCTCATGAAGATAATGCAAGCCCGCACAAATTCCCTTGATTATTTGGTACCATTGTGTCCATTCAAGCTCACGTGATGCGTCTACAAATGGAAGAGGATAAAAGAACTTTAGTTACATGAGATACTCCTGCATGATATATTTTAAATCTAGCTAGGGTTAGCAAGGTTGGTAAATTTTGTTGACACTCCACCACATTCAAATAAAAATCCAAGACTATCTGACGAAGGGCCTGTTTGGGACAGCTCCAAATTTTAAAACCAGATCTGAAGCACTAGATCCACCTTGGAGCAGCTTCAGTTTGGATCTGGGATTCAAAAAAACTGTTTGGGACAGCTCCACGATGAATCTGCTGGGCTGGCCCAACAACCAGCCCATCATGGCCCAACAGTAGCCCATCATGGGAGCTCCTTTTTCCCCTTTGTCTCAAGACACCTTGGGCCCGCACGTCAGCCTTTTTATCCTCTTCCCAACAGAGCACGTTTCTTCATCCTCGTCGGGACTAGGCGTGATGGTGCGGCCATCAACGAGCGGTGTAGATCCGCCTAGTAGGGGCCCGCGAGGTGCGGTCAGCGTGGTGGCCGGGGATGTGCGTGCGACCGTGCATCGCGACTGGCTGGGAATCCTCGTCTACTAGGTGTGGACGGAGCGGTCAGGGGCACAGCCGGCTCGGTCGTAGGCGCGGCTAGGAGGCTCGGGTCCGCTTAGGCCGGCACGGCCGGAGGCTAGCGTGGGTGGGCTGCGTTCGAGACGACCAACCGCCATGGTTACCATGTGGCCGGCGTGAGAGGAGGGGAGGGCTGGCCGGGGCGTGGCCGCATGGTGAGGGGCGCCGTCCGTGGATCCTGCACCGGGAAGGGCGCCGACGTGAGGGCGGCGCGTGAGGGCAGCGTTGCCATGGCCGGTGGGAGCGCGGAGTCAGGAGCCTTTAGGAGAAAGGAAGAAGAGAACAAACCGTTCATTTTCACTAATCAGTGGCATGGTGGGTAATTTTTGCTAACTCCACAATTCTGGATCTAGCCTTGGGTTTTTGAAGCACCTATTGAGGTGCTCCACGAAATCCATGATCTGGCCCTGAGATCTGAAATTTTGGGTGCTTCTTATTTCATGGAGTTGGCATGTTTGGCTAGAAAAGTGGGATCTGGAGCTGTTTTTCCTGGATCTGGAGCACCTGGAGCTATCCCAAATAGGCCCTAAGCAAACAAGATAGAATTTGAATGGGTTGCTAGTCACCAACCTCAAAGCGATGTGATCATGTGTTTTCTTCGTAATAAAATAAGCCTCTATGAGCCTTTGGTGAAAAATGGTTGCAACAATAGAATAGTACGAGAAAATGGGAACCTTTGGTCGGGTTTAAGGAGGTGATTTTTAGATATTGTTGCAATAACACCGCCAGTTATTGGTTTGAATTGGTAGCATTAGTAAAGTATTACTGTCAGTTCAAACCGTCAATGACATGTGACCATAGGTTTGAACAATGGGCTACTACTGATTATCTCTAGCATTGCTAATTTGTGGCCTTCTCAAATATATATACAGAGCACGAGAAGGCTTGAAACCGGCAGTGCTGGGCCATATGCAGTACTAGTGATTTCTATCATAATGATATCTTGAATCAAACTATCTTTAATAAATATAATGAAGATGAAAAGAAGGTTACATGCGACATTACCCTACCGGTGATATAATCATGAAGACTCCCTTTAGGCAAATACTCAAAGCACAGTAATCTTTGTTGTACATCTGCCATGACATGCTTCCCATTGTAGATTTCCATCCTTCCTTGTGTGTCAGCACAATATCCAAGAAATCTTACTACATTTTTGTGGTTCGCCTTCATTAGACATTCAACCTCTTGATGAAATTTGTTCTCATGCAAATGGGTATTGAACAACTTCTTCACAGCAATTGTCCCATTCCTAAGCATTCCCTGCAGTCACAAGAAACCGTGTCAACATCAACTTAAATTTTTGAGCAGCTACATCTTATGAATTGCCCAACTGAGACCTAGATATATCATACCTTATAAACCACAGCAAACCCACCGCTTCCTATTCGTTTGTCATGGGAGAAACCATTTGTGATGTTTTCCAAGAGTGATAATGGCAGATCAGTCGGCTCTACACTTTCATCGAGCAGCATGCGCTCAAGGACATCGCGTTTTGTACTAGCTGTACGATCCATCTATCACAATACCCTTGAAACAGAAAAAGAAAGTACTGTCTGAATTATTCACTGTGTCATAAGAGGACGTAATTACAGAAAGAATATCACTCTTCTATTTCACTCTTATTCCCTCAGTGGGCAAACATTCTGAAATGGAAACTCCCAACAAGCTCAAGAAAAATTGTGAAAGGAACAAATACATCTCTACGTACCCAACAAGAAGGGGCTCAACTAATCTACTCAGGAACATGTGAGCTAACGATAGAAGAGCTTCTGCCACAGCACCCAACTAGCATAATCTTATGGAGTAGGATAGCTTCTCACAAATTCAACCAAAGCCTTAGTCCAAGACCATCATGCCATATGCCAAAAAGTGCATATGCAATGCAAATGCCATGTCTCCTGCCTTCATACCCAACAAGGTATTAAGCCGCATCGTTAAGCCCAATAAACGATGCTGTACCGGTACGGTCGCAGCTAGCAAGCGGCGACATTACTCCATATGCCAATGCATGAATGAGATGCAATGCAAGTGCCACAGAAAGAAAGATAAATAATCACATAACACCATAAGCATCTCTCCATGTAGACAACAAACCATATTCCATTATACCCACATGATCATCATAAAACCATAAACTTAACACCATAAGTAGAGGAACTTAAATATTCACATAGAAAGCATAGAGGGCAAGTCAATGAATTAAACATAGTTTGAAAGGCCAGATTATACTAGTTGAGGTTCTGAACTTTTAAGATGGAGGTAGAACAAATAACAAGTTAAAGCATGTAGCAAACCACCGCTACATTTATTTGCCTCCAATGAAGTGATGATCGCTCTATGTGCGATCTGAAGCACTATCACCTGCTTAAGTAGTATAATGTCAGAGGTAGAACTCATTTCAACAAGTACAAACAGTAGACAAAGCACTCCTTACTCCCCAACCCGACATACAAGTAAAACAGCACACAAAGCGACAAATCAAATGCAGCAGTGCTGCTTCACCTTTTTATATGTTTTAATCCATAGGGGATATGATGGCAGAAAAATACATTTTCATAATCTACAGACGAAGGCCTACAACTTTCATATAGGAGCCATATTTTTACCACGCTTTTAAGATGGCCTAATCCATAATAGAAAACAGACTTCAGAATCTGCTCGAGAATTGAGACAGCAAGCTTCATATTTTTATATCTCCAAATCTTTAAGTGCAAAAATTATGAAATTTAATCAGCGATCAGATAATTCTATATTCAACAACTTTGGTATTATTCATATTTGCAGAAGGAGCCAATTAAATGGACCTAAGCAAGACCCAATCTTAACTGCGAATCCTGCTGAGAAAACAATACAATGAGCTTTGAAACTCTATACCTAGAGCTTCCATTATCCAAAAATCATGATTCTTACCAATCTGGAAAGCTAAATGAAAGTTCTACAAGTCTCTTATAATTTTGAAAGTCCCATCATGCCTCTAAGGTTCTCAAAATCCACCTAGATCCAGTTCTGTCCAAAACTTCGTCAGAACATGACAGCTAACTTAGAAAACTCATATCTCCCAATCCGTTCCGGATAAAATCATGAAATTTCACAAGATAACAGATCTGAAGGTACTCTACAACTTTTTAGTTCATCACAACACTCAGTTCAGATTCCAATTGGCCCGAAATCCGAGGAGTGACATCCCAACAACATTTCCTCCACTCTATTCCACTTATACCCAAGGCCAAACCCAACATAGACATCTAATTTGTGCAGGGAAGGGCAGAATCCCACCCACCTTGGTTACTCCCAAACCCTAGAGCAGCGGGAAGAGATGGGGAAGGACCGATCTCCATGGAAGATGCACCCCTTCTTGCTCCTCTTGATTTCCCCTATCCGATTTGCTAGATTCCCCCAAGGGTTTGGTGCTGTAGTGGAGAGATTTGTGGGAGGGAATCCATGGGAGAGAAGGGGAGGAAGCAGAGAACGTAAAAATACAGGTGGCTGGTCTCAAGGTCGAACAAGAGAGAGCTAAAGGAGCTAGAGGGATGTGGGCTGATTGGATGGGCTTGGGGCTGGCCTAGCAAGCATGCCCCTTCCCATTCCTATTTTTTTTCTTGTTACAGGCGTAGCACAGCAGGCACGGTGGCTGCCTCGGCGTTGGAAGGCCGAGGGCGCAGAAGGCGGCGTAGGCCCGCCAGGAGGTGCACATTGCGCCCAAGCGGACGACGTCGGGAACCTCCATGGATGACATGGAGATTAACAGGACGTCCAGCGGCAGCGCGGACCAGTCCTGGCCCATGGCGGCGGCGCCTGTTTCCATGGTATTTCTTGGTTACTTGTACAGTTGTACTAGCACTTTGCACGCATGGATTTGTAGCAGGGCCTTGTTTAGATCGTAAGTTTTTTCACTCTTTTTTTATCACATCAAATATTTAGACACATGCATAGATTATTAAACGTAGATAAAAAAATAACTAATTACACAGTTTGATTGTAAATTACGAGACGAATCTTTTGAGCCTAGTTAGGCCATGATTGGACAATAATTGTCAAATACAAACGAAAGTGTTATAGTGCCAAATACTGATTCCTAACTCCAATCTAAATAAGGCCCAGATTGGATTTATGATGTTGAAAGTAAGGCCTTGTTTAGTTCGCGGTTATGAATCAGTATTCGACACTGTAGCACTTTCGTTTGTATTTGACAATTATTGTCCAATCATGGTCTAACTAAGCTCAAAAGATTCGTCTCGTAATTTACAATCAAACTGTATAATTAGTTATTTTTTTATTTACATTTAATATTCCATACATGTGTCCAAAGATTTGATATGACGAAGAGAGAGCGAAAAAACTTGAAATCTAAACGAGCCCTAAGCCCTAGGTCTGAAACCGTGTAGGCGTCAGATACCCACACCCACCACCGCCTGTTTCCAAGGGCTGAGGCTAGAAAATACTGTTGAGACACTTTTGAGCCGGATTTGCGACCAACGTCGTTTTCTGGTTCACAGGCAGAGGCCCAAGCCCAAAAGTCAACAGTCTCCGCTTTAAAAGCATTGACGCCGTCTATAGTGCAGGTTCGCAGGCTTCCTCGTTTGGGCCGGGCGCAGGTTTTTTTTTTTATTTGATTCAAAACAAATCGAACCAAAAAGACACCTAAATAGAGTTATACTAATGGTAATGTTGTGCTAAGAGCATCTCCAAGAGACTCTCCATCTCCTTCATAAATAAAAGGAATAGAAATTTTGGTGAAAACTACCCTCCACTAGCTTTTTTAAATGGTCATTCAAAATCTTCTATTTCGGATTTTTCGCTTGCAAAAAATAGAAGACGAGAATGACTCTCTAGAGTACGCATGAGATATAAAAAAACTATTGAAGAGTGAAACGCCTGACTGATCGTCGTCCTATCTCTCCACCGTACACCAGCGCTGCCACCCGCCATACTTCTTCTCCACCAGGCCATATGCCCGTCGTGCGCGCTAGCCACCGCACTAGCCACCTTCTCCACCGGAGCGCCACGTGACTCCGCAGCATTGAGCTCCGCGCCGCCGTCGAGCTCTACCTCTACGAGCCTCCATTCATCTAGGGCAACAAATAGATGTTGCGCTGAAAGCACATGTTGCAAAAGTATGTTTCAAGTGTTTCAGATGTTTCAGAAGTATGTTGCAAGTGTTTCGTATGGATATTGCAAAAGTAGATTGTGATGTTGCATATGTTGCAATGGTTGTACAAGTATGTTGCAAATATGTGTTCCCAATGTTTCATCTATTTTTTTAAGACATATGTTGCAAATGTGTTTATCTGGATGTTGCACATGTTTCACACTTATGTTGCAAGTGTTTTATCTTGATGTTGCTTATGTTTTCAATGGTTTTAGGTGCTTTTTTGCAAGTGTTTCATACGCATGTTTCAGGTGTTTCATCTTCAGACATATTTTGCAAGTGTTGCATTATTTCAAAAGTAGTTAAGTGGATCCGGTGTTGCATATGTTGCAATGTGACCCGCCTGCTGCAGCTGCAAGAGGGGCGCGAGGGGTCGCGCAAAGCGCAGACGCCGCGTGGGGTCAGGCAGAGGCGCAGATGCCACGTGGGGTCAGGCGGTATGCGGAGTACGTCCAGGCACGGAAATGGATGCAGGCGCCAGCGTCTGGACGTTCTAGCACTGCCCATTATACTAGAGAATCTAACCATATTACAATTAGTAATAGCAAATTTGATATAATAAATTAAGCAAAAAGAGCAGTTTGGTTTCTGCACGAGTTGACAAGACCAAATAAAGAGTTCGCGTAAAAGACAATTGGTAAAGGTAAAATTTGAATAAAAACTAAGAAAGGTTAATAGATTGATCCTTATAAAATTGTAAAAAAAATCTAAATAAATACCCAATACAAATTGATTAGAAACAAATTACTAAATTCAAAATTAAAATTGATAAAAATAGTAATTTGATCTCCATATAGTTTGGAGAAGACACCTAGGTAAAAACTTAGTGTGGACGAAAGCCATAAAAACGTTAATGGGCAGGCCAACTGAAGAAGAAATCGTCTTGCATAAAATGAAATGAAAACAAATAAAAAACACCGACCGGAGTGGAATGGGACATGTTGAGAGCATCTTATAGTAGGCCGCTAGTCCCCAAGCCTGGAGAAAATAACCCCTTACGCCTTGTTTGGATGTTGTTGGATTCATCTCAATCCACATGTGTTGAGGTAGATTAGGACGAAATTTAGTTCAACTTCTACTCCAATCAACCCCAACATATGTGTGGATTTGTGCGAATCCAACTACATCCAAACAAGGCCTTAATGTTGTTTCTAAATTCTTGATTGAGAATTGGATCCATTGTTAGGAAACACGACCTTTTCATAGATCCATTTTAATGTTAAAATCCTACAAAATGGAAACAATAGTTTTAGTTGGCATCTCATATCTGAGTTACTTGTAAGATTTATTGGGTATGTCTTATGTACCGTGTTTGGGCAAACCTCTCAACTACTAAAAGATCTATTCGAAAAACATGGGACTAAT